ATATATATATATATATATATATATATATATATATATATATATATATATATATATATATATATATATTCAAGTTTATAAGCTATATATAATGCATAAAACAATATATATATATGTATGATATATTACATATATACAATATATAAAATCATATATATCCATATACACGGATATATATATATATATATATATTATATATATATATATATATATATATATATATATATATATATATATATATGTAATATTGAAACCATATATACGTATATATGTATAATTTCGATCGTGTCATTCATTTTAAAGCACCATGAACTGTGTGGTATTTAATGTTCCCCTGTGTATATGTGTGTATATATATATATATATATATATATATGTGTGTGTGTGTGTGTGTGTGTGTGTAAATATATTGATAAATTAGGAAAGAACCGTTAGATTGATGATCCGAAGTTCTTCCGTAGTTTTGTTTTTTCATTTTTAAAAACAGTGCTCGATACACAAGTAGAGCCTAGATTAAAATTATTTTTTTAAAATTATGATTTCATCGCTACACAGGAATTACCACGTTTCAAAAACAGAAGCGAAGAAATTCATCATTATAGATTCAACGAAAAATGAATTTAAAATAAGATGTAGGCAACCCAAAGGCTCCTTCAATAATATTAGAAATAGAAATCAGACATCTCTATCCAAATACTTTTGGCATTTAAAAGAAACGAATAAAACAAAAGTAAAATGGAAAATGATGAATAGAACAAGAACTTGTAAAACCTCGGATGATTCATGTCCTTTATGCCTACATGAAAAACTACACTTTATAAAGTTTCTAAAAACGAGAATTTATTAAATCAAAGACATGAGATAACGGTTTTTTGCCGACATCAACAAATATTCGCTTTAAATAATTAGCATAAATAAATTTAAAATTTCAAAATCTATAAACAAGATCAATTAAAGCAATAGGTTTAAATACACAACCCAATCATAAACTAAAAAAAAAACTTTAAGAAGTCGTCAACAAAAAACAAATTGTAGTTCAATACGACGTATTCAGATACAAACAACCCTTTTAGAAAAAAAATCTTTATGTATACAAATACAAATGTAACGGCGAAACCAAAGTGCTGAAAAATTTTCTGTCGTTGAAAAAGACCAGACAACATGCGTTGAATGGATGTCATCATTCGTTTGAAAAAAGTCACCCCGACCCGAACTTGACTTAACCTCTTTTCGAAAGTAACTAATATGTTGATACAATAGTTACAAAAGAAAATGAATACCCTACCGCTCCTTATTAAAATGATTGGTTTTCTCTATATCCATAGAAATTAATATTATGAATGTATGTGCTTATAAAGGTCCGTAAAGTTCAAAATAAGTTATTCCAAAATTCGCTAGAAAATGAAACAGGATTAGGTAATTTAATTTAATTTAATTTCTATAATTAAATTGGAAGGTTTAGTTTCTGTTTTTGAAACATGGTAATTCCTGTGTAGCGATGGAATAATATTTATATATATATATATATATATATATATATATATATATATATGTATACATACATCGCTTTCTTTGGTGTGGCCTCGTTATACATCACGATACTTTCAAACTTTCACCTTTCAAAAAAAAATAATACGACAAAGGAATTAATCAACCCATACAGACACCAAAATATCTCTAGAAAATGATTTGATTTATTTATTTGTTTAATGGCATATCAACTCCTTATGTATCATTTAATGCCAGAATTTAATTTACATCGGTGACTTAGTAATAAAAATATGGTATAAGTTATTCTGCTTTCACAAATATATACATGGTAGAATATACTTAGCTTTTGTGCGTATATATATATATATATATATATATGTATGTATGTATATGTGTGTGTGTTTATTTGTGTGGACATAATTACTGCGGCGGATATGTCTATTTTATGTTGTAGTTTCATTATATTTTGGAATACGGTTAAATTTCTTTAAGAAATTTTAGCATCTTACATGGATTAATGTCATTATATTATTAATGTAAAGATTTCCTTCATGTCGGTTGGTAGTTTGGTTAACTTTGACGGCATATCATCCTCTATGGATTATTTAATATCGAAATCTAAAGATGTTAAACACAATGCCTTCTATTAAATATATTTTGAGTGCAATTCTATGCTGTCATACAGATAAAATGCATTGTTGGCGATTTTGCTTTAAAAATATATTGTTTGTTATTTTACTATAAATAGGTATTGTTTGTAATTTTTTTTGTATTTTGTGGAGCGAAGAGGAGATCAACCTACTGCCTCACAATACCAAGGGCTCTTTAAAGTAGTTTTCAGTAAAGTTTACCTTTTTACCATCTTCCCAACCTCGTCCCACTATCCATTCATTCGACGGGTACGGTGGTCCGCTGCGTACCCGTGTTTCTTTTCCCTTTGATATATGCACCATAAATGTCAAGTCTCTTTCTGATTCTAAGTATCAGTGTCCGTTTTTCTTTAAGAATTCCTTGTTGTTTACCCGCTCCTTCCATAACATTCTCGGTGTTTCTGTTACTTCGTCTTTCCTTCGTCAGTGAGAAAATTGTCCAGTACTCACTGCCACATACAAGGACTGATATCACAAAACAGTTTGTAAACTTTACGAAATTCTTAATACTTTGCTTAGCTTTAGAAAGGCATCATTCGGTATTCCAATGTGACTTCGGAATTCAGTGTCACAGTTCTGTTTAACAACAAAACTTCCCATATATTTAAATGCTCGTACTTGCTTGATTTTGGCAAATTAGTAGAATGCTCCTCGTGCTGATATCCCAATATTGTGTTTCGAACAGCCCAACATTCTGTCACCTTATGCGTCGTCGCCAACAATATACATTGCCTCTATTGTAGTCTGGAAACTGCCTCTCGAAGGCTACCATATCTTTTTAAATGCAAACCCACATTCCGACAGTATCTTCAACATGATGTTTTTTTTATTCGGGCCATGAAACTAATCCCGGTTGTCACACTCACGATGTTTTGGCTGTTGTACCGACCGGTCTTCTTCAGGTGTCTGTTGAATTTGTCTAGATTTTCGAGATAAGAAATTATCATTATTACATGTTTTGCTATTTATACCAGAATATTAATCTCGGTTGTTTTATTCACGACTTTTCGGCTGTTGTACCGACCAGTCTTCTTCAGGTGTCTGTTGAATTTTTCAGGATTTTCGAGATAAGAAATTATCATTATTACATGTTTTGCTATTCATACCAGAATACTTATCTCGGTTGTTTTACTCACGACGTTTCGGCTGTTGTACTGACCGGTCTTCTTCAGGTGTCTGTTGAATTTTTCAGGATTTTCGAGATGAGAAATTATCAATGTTATATATTTTGCTGCTCTTTTCTTTGTTTATAACGAAATCTTCCGCTTTCTTAATACGTTACTTAGATTTTGGAAGGCGTCTTTCTCTGTTCCAATGCGTGTTCGGATTTCGTTGTCATATTTTCCACCCTCTGTTAAAACACTTCCAAGCTGTACTTGTTTGATTTTGACATCCCAAACTGAACACGTGTACAATTTCTTTTGAAGATATACAGTTTTTTTTTCTCTATTGAACGTTTGTTTTCTTTGTATTATAATCTATTCTCAATTACTTGCTGTTGTGTCAGAGTAAGCCTGCTTTTTACAAACACACACACTTTACTGTGAATATGTGTGTCAGCGCATACGGCATGTCTATACATACGAACATATCTATACATACTTAAGTGTATAAATAGCTTTGCAATACGCGTTTGTAGAGCAACTTTGTTTCTATTGGCACTGGCTAAACTAGTACTTTCACCTGTTGCATAAACATTTGGAGATTGTTTTCATTTTGAGCACAAAACAAACACCCGACGGTGAGTTGTTCAACAAAGGAATTTTCACAGAGTGATCAGCAGTGAAGTGATATTTTTTTTATTGAGTAGATCTTATTCACGCCATTATTATCTATCTATCTATCTATCTATCTATCTATCTATCTATCTATCTATCTCAGAATGTTATCTATCTATCTATCTATCTATCTATCTATCTCAGAATGTTATCTATCTATCTATCTATCTATCTATCTATCTCAGAATGTTATCTATCTATCTATCTATCTATCTATCTATCTATATCTCTCTCTCTCTCTCTCTCTATATATATATATATATATATATATATATATATATATATATATATATATGTTAGGAGAAAAGAAAGAACAAAGAACAGTAAGATATATAATCCGGTGTTCTTATTATTAATTTTATTTTTACAAAACAGTTCTCGACGCGAATATACAGAGCATAAATATTAAAATTAACTGATTTAAAAAAATTGTTCCATCGCTACAGAGGAATTTACCATGTTTCAAAAAAGTTTTTAGTTTCTGTTTTTGAAACAAGGTAATTCCTGTGTAGCGGTGGAACCATATTTTTAAATCAGTTAATTTATCATATATATATATATATATATATAAAGTGAACATTAAAAATCAACACTTAGAGGCGACATGGCCTGACGATTGCGTCTAGCATGAAACAGACTGTCGCCTCTAAGTGTTGTCTTCAGTGTTCAATTTTATATTTACATATATATATATATATATATATATATATATATATATAATTATTTTTTAATATGATTCCTTCGCGACATAAGAGTTCTCACTGAGCACTGTTTTTTAAAATAATAACAACAAATATACTAAAGAACTTAGGATTATTTACCTAACATGTTCTTTCCTATTTTTCTATATATTTGCACACACACACACACACACACTCACACACACACACACACATATCTATATTAGGTGCAACCTTTTCATGTGTGTTTCATTGAAAGTGAGAGAGGGAAAACTTATATGTTAACAAGAATATATATATATATATATATATATATATATATATATATATATATATAACTGAATTCAGCATCAAGAGTCGACTGTCTGTTTTATGCAAAACCAAACATTAGGTCACATAGCTTGACGATTGCGTCTGGCATGAAACTGACTGTCCTCTCTGGGTGTCGACGTCAACGTCCACTTTTATATTTCCATACGCTCTATCCCTGATATTGAGTATTTTATCCCATAAATATAGCATACCTTAAAACTATATTTTGTCATCAGTATTATATATATATATATATATATATATATATATATATATATTACAACAGAGTCAAAACATGACGGGAAAATAACAATATCATAGACAAAAACCATTGAAAATGACTGTCCTCTCTAGGTGTCGACGTGCCTTAACCGATTTGGCTACAGAGGAGAGTTCGGTTAGCAAGGTCGAATTTACTGTCTTTAAACTTCAATCTTCCATGAATCTCTCACGTACATTCATATCTGCTCATGGTGTATCCAAATGTATACAAATGACGTCACACATTATGAAATGGACAAAGTTCGAATCCTGTCGAAGGACGAATATTTTCTGTGAAAAATTCTCGGACATTCAGGCCGGTAAATATTGTTTAATACTGTTTATTATAAACATAGCATTTACTTAAATATTTGTATCTATAAAAAGAATGTATAAGCATAAAAATGTCTTAAAATAATAGTCGGACTTTGTCCATTCCATAACATATATATGTGTGTGTGTGTGCGCGCGCGCGCGTGGGTATGTGTGTGACGTATTTTGATGGTACAACAAGGGAGTTAAATCTACTGGAATTAACTCCTTGCCTGGTAAGGAGTGACATGCGATATAATTGTCATCTGAATGTTATCCAAGGGATCTTGACAAAAACTTGAACAGAGACCATGTTGGAGATACGTAACTACCTTGACTAGCAGCCACTTTCTCAGACAGATCCTGAGAATCTGATTGCCAGGAAAGTTGGCACCGAAAGAACGTTTTAGAAAGATATCTGGAAAGTAAGAACAATTAACATGCAGACGTAAAAAAAAAACCTAACACGTGTCAGACAAAGAGGTAAAAGATAACCACTGAATGAAATGGGATTAAACCGATAAAAAAAAACAAAAAAAAAATCTTTTAAAATTAACAATAAACAATGGGCCATGAGTTTAGCTAAAGAATAGCGTTTCTACTGATGTTGGTACTGTTTTGGTTGATCTTGTCTTCGTGGTTAACTGTTGGACAAAAAAGTTATTAGTTTTCCGGAAAAGACTGTTAAAATAAGACAAGGAAGGTTTGTGATGGTAAACAAAGATAGACGAGGCGAAGGTGGAGAAACAGAATATTGTGTTCAACCGAGATTTGAAGACGTGAGATAATGCTCGGCGCTGGTCTGGTTTGGGTTGGAGGAGAAGCCGAAAGAATAAACAAATAAATAAAAATGTATGCAACAAGGTTGATTCCGATTAAGATAGCAACATGTGAAAAGTAAGAGATGGAAGACGGGCGCCCAGGGCTATAGTTTACAGAAGAAAAAAAAATAAAAGAATAAACTTCAGAAATAAAAGAAAAGAACACAAGAAAATCTGGAGACAGAGAAATAAAAATCGAGATAGACAAAAAAAAAGTCAGTCTGAATTAGATGAGAAGATAACCTGTCAAATATGAAACAGAAATAAAAGAAATACACTAGTCGGTGTGAATGTCTTCTCGCCGGATTTGGCTAACCTGTGCGGCGAGTCCATCCTAGAAAAAACTAGAAAATACGAGCAAGATTTATTATTGATTTTGTCGTTTGTTTAGCGGCATATCAACTCCTTATGGGTCATTTAATACTGAAGTATGCATTTTTGGTAGCATTATTTATTTATTTACAAAAAAAAAAAAAATGTAACGCTGGTATTTTTCCTTTTTTTATTACAAAAATATATCACTGCTAAAATTTTACTATTCTAAGTCTTACTATTTAACCCATAGCTTGTGAGAGAAGCGCTGCCCCCACCAAAAAAAATGTAACGCTGGTATTTTTGCTTTTTTTATTACAAAAATATATCACTGCTAACATTTTACTATTCTAAGTCTTACTATTTAACCCATAGCTTGTGAGAGAAGCGCTGCCCCCACCAAAAAAAAAAAAAATGTAACGCTGGTATTTTTGCTTTTTTTATTTTTGCTTTTTTTATTTTTTGCTTTTTTTATTTTTTATTACAAAAATATATCACTGCTAAAATTTTACTATTCAAAGTCTTACTTTTTAACCCATAGCTTGTGAGAGAAGCGCTTAAAAAAATAGACGACCAATCTGTTAGGTTGATTCATAAGAAATTTCTGTTCTAAGGATTTTTTTATTTAAATATTTTGGATTTTAGAAATAAATCTTTTTTTTTTTACAAGCAAATATGGGAGTAAATATTTTTTCTTATGCATGACAATGATTTTCCAAGACACAATTCTTACTTTTAAAGAAGAGCTATATTCCTATATTTGCCAAAGGCATTTGCCAATAAGTGAATAACGTACTCGATTGGAATTCGAACTCGGCTCTTCCGATTGTCATATTCCGAGCCGCTATCAATTACACTACCTACAAACATCACAGCTTTAGAGAATCAGTTATAATGACGAATCTGTCGTCCTAAGTCGTAAATAATGCTAAATCATCTAGAATTGAAATGAATACAGTGATGGCATGTACCCTGAATCAATCATAAAACGTATGCCGAAATTTAATTTTCTTGGAAGCATTAGTAATTTATTTTACAAAAACGTATTGCGAGTAATTTTTTTTTTGCTATGAAAATGTATTTCTGGTATTTTTACTATAAAGATGTATTTTTATACTTTCGTGACCTTTTGACTCGAGTTTGTGGTTTAACTATTTGCCTATAGTTGGTTCTACCACACTAGGGTGGACCTGGAAACACCAAAAACTAAGAGGTTCTTCCACGCTCTTCAAACCTTGCTGCAAGATATAGTTTATCGTCATACCCAGGGCGTTTATTATTGGTGGATACAATCTTGACAACGTAAAATACGCAGCCCACACCGTGTTGATTACAGACACGGAATGAAAACTGGAAAGCGAGAAGAAGGGATTAATTGTCAGTTGGAAGAAGACAGAATATATGGATACTTAAACTTAGAATCAGAAAAAGACAGTTGACATTTCTGTAATACATGATAAGGAAAGACGGCTTAGAGAACTTAACACTCACATGATATACTGAAGGTTAGAGTGGAAAATGGAAACTTCATGTAACCTACTCCAACGATTTTGTGTAAATAGATGGCAGAACAGGTACTGGGAGTTATAGTAAAAAGACAAAAATTACTAAGAACTACAAATGATAGAATGTTGTGGAGAGCCATAATTGTCTACGTCCTGAAGGAGTACGCCACTTTAAAGAGGAGTATATTCCAAAACCACCTCATAGAAGCTTCAGACCATTTTTAATACTGAAACCTGCATGTAATACGTTTTCTTTCCATGTGCTTCTTTCTTTTTCATGTGCGTTTCTTCTAACCAGTGGTCATGGCTCTCCACAGATTCCTATCCTTTGTAGCTTCCTTTATACACATACCATTATTAAGGTTTAATTTACTGAATTAGGCACCATAAGAAGTTAAGAAATAACTAATAAGAAAAAACACATATAAATACAGTGTAACCCGGATATAAGAGAGTTGTCGGGACCGTAGAAGAAGTCTCTTATATCCGGGTTTCTCTTATATCCGGGTTTCTCTTATATCCGGGTTTCTCTTATATCCGGGTTTTGGTCTATTTTGTTTAGGTAAGTATGGCTCTAATTTCGGACCAGAGAAAATCTCTCTTATATCCGGGTTTCTCTTATATCCGGGTCTCTTATATCCGGGTTACACTGTATACTATATATCACTATTTATATGAATAAAAATTATATAGATTATAGAAGTTTACTCTGGGTATTACGATTAACTACATCCGGCAAAAGGCTTCTGATCGGGAGATTGGAGGCTGTAAATAGTGTGGAGCCGCCTATTAATTGCTGTTGTTCCTAGGGATGCCTGTTAGGACGCCAACCATGTGCAAATAGTAAAACCCCGAACAAAAATCAAATCACTTAGAAAATATAAAAATATATTTTTATAGTAGAAAAACCAGCCAAACATTTATATAAAAAATACCAACAATACATTACCAGCAATACATTTTTATAAAAAAAAAAATTACCGAC